ATGTTTTATGCTACTGACTTTCCTAAGATGATCACATGACAGGACCAGCAGAGAAAAACCTGTCCAAAGACTACTTACTACACTATAGACTAGCCAGCAACCTATGAAGAAACCTACCATGATAGAGAAATTTGCTAAATATACCTAATTCAACCAATCTCACTTTCCCTTAAGAGCCTGACAAGCTACATGAGAAAGGAAAGCAGCTAAAAAGTACAGAAAAGACAGGAAGCAGAAATAATGGGCAACTACAACTATATTGAGAAGACATAGAGTGACATATCTTTTTTAAGTGAGTCTTAGAAGGGCTACAAGAGAAACAATACTTCTTGCTGCCAAGACAGCAACACCCAATCACTAGATTTCCCCCCAATTTTCGTATCACCTACGTAATGGAAATCTAGTGAAGCCAATTTAACTGGATTTTCACAAGACCTGGCCACTTCCTTCTCCCTTATGTGACCCACATAAAACTTACAGAAAAACCTCCTCGCCTTACCAGATACAAGCCAAACAAAATTACGTGCTTGCAACCAAAAAGGAATGAAATATCCTGACAGCTTCTTTACTGAGTGCACATGTACTCGCACACCAGCTTCTAGACACTAGACAAGCCAGGTGGTGGCTGGCGAGCCAAGCCTTCTGATTCCCACATCTATTTTGCAGCATCTGTGGTTTAGATACTGTATTACTGAGCCTTAGTTACCTAGTCTCAGAGTTCAAAAAGGATACTAAACCTTAAAAATTAATGACTTGGGGCTGAGGAAATAGGTAAAGTGTCTAGTGTGCAAGCATGAGGACCGAGTTCAGATCCCCAGCACCTACATAAAAAGTTTGGCATGGCAGCCTGTGTATGTAACTCCAGTGCAGGGGGTGCAAGTTCGGGAAAACGGGTGGAGTCCTCTAATCTTGCTTCAGTCTATCCAAGCATTAAGAACCAGATTCGTGAGAGACCCTGTCTCAAAACATAAAAGTGGGTAGAAATCATGGAAGACACCTGATGTCAACCTCTGGCCTGCATGTGTGCATGCACAAACACACAAACACACACACACACACACACACACACACACACACACACACACACACACACACACACACCCCGGCATGCACACGTGTGCACACACAAAAAAAATTAAAAACTCTTCATTATAAATTCCATACTTCAATATTAACAAGAGCTCCAGAGCAATTACTAGAAACGAAACTATATCCTTTAAAAGCTCCTTGCTTTTATGTGGGCATAAATGCATGTGTGAAGATTTTTGTGGTAAGTGAACTGGTTTTCTTAGAATCAATAAATGTTGATTAGTCAAGGTAGTCAAGCACAGAAATGATAATTAAAAAATATGAAGATAGCCGGGCGGTGGTGGCGTGCGCCTTTAATCCCAGCACTCAGGAGGCAGAGGCAGGCGGATCTCTGTGAGTTCGAGGCCAGCCTGGGCTACCAAGTGAGTTCCAGGAAAGGCGCAAAGCTACACAGAGAAACCCTGTCTTGAAAAACAAAAACAAAAAAAAATATGAAGATATCTTGTGGAAAAGTAAGACCTGCTGGCCTATCTCATACCCTGAATCCTGTCCACACAAAGGATAATGCTAAAATATTCTCAACATGATGCCCATAGATGCCCAGTAGGCAGCACACCATGGAACTCAATATATCTAATAAGCAAAACCTATGAAAATAACTCTCCTACAGAAACTCCTATTTCCCTAACTACCTCTCTGTAAAAATTAGAGGACACTCCTTTCCCTGGCCACCCCCACCCCACCCTGTAATCCAGTTCCTGTGCACGTTGTGCCTAGGGCTTCATTCCTTTTTCTCTTAGAGGTACTCCTTCCTTTCTTACTCCCATTCAGAACCAGAGCTACCAGTCACTACTAGCACATACTGTGACTTCAGGGCTGCTAAGGCACCTTACTACTGAACAAGAATCTCAGTTACTTCTTAAAAATATTTGCAGAGCTGAGAATGTCTGACTAAATGATACAGTTCTGTTTCTCAGAGCTAGTTTATTTTCAATATATTCCCAGATAGTAGGTAGCAAAGTTCCATATTCAAAACCTAAATTATAATGAAAACTACATGCACTTAAAGTACATTCTTACATAGTAATATCTCATCTAAACCTAACATTATTAGATACTCTCAAAGTGTTTCCAGATTATATGGAGCAGTAAAGGCAGAAGCTGGTTATTACTGCTCAAGCATCCAAAACAGGGTTTTTGTTTTTGGAAAGGTGGCTAATTTAACCATATCATTCTATCACTTAAACATTATTTCATTTGCCATAAATATACCTCAGATACTGGACACAAGCATTTGAGTACCAGAATCATCATGAAAGGTAAGCTCAGCACTCAGGAGGCTGAAGGGGATAATCTTGAACCCGAGTCCATACTGGACTAAATAAAATAGCAAGTGTCAGGCCTGCCTAAGGTACACAGTGAGACCCTATCTCAAAACAGAAAGGGCTAAAAAGGCAGTTCAGTGGTAGATGCCTGTGTAACATAGGCCCTGAACTCAATTCCAAGCACCACTACAAAAACAAAAGCAGTCACATTTCTTTAGTTTAAGATCAAAGATTCACCTAGGCCCTCAGAGAAGCAAACTGAACCAACAAAAGCTCCAAGGTTGAAAACAGTTAAAGACTGCCATTGGATGGGCTTGTTTCTTTATCTCTTTATAGCGCATTCACCAGACATTCCCAATTCAGATAAATAGTGTGCCCCTGAACAATCTATTCTTTCCATAAGTGAATGACTTCTTTCAAACAGTACTACATATCTATAAGGCTTGTTTTATTTTTAAAAATTCAACAATGTTATTTAATACTTGTTCCCAGTCAGTAGTTTGCACATGACCAAAAATATTTGTGTGACAGAGCAGATGCCAATGAGATTTTTGAAACAGATGGATGGTTATGGGAGGGCCATAAAAACAAAGCTAAATTTACAATGAACATGCTTTTTAAAACTCCCCAGTATCTTATCAAGAGAATGAAAAAAAAAAAAAAAAACCTGTAAGAAGGATAAGCTACTAACATCTGATTATTAAGTACAAAAGCAATAGATCTAGTGTGTAACAAAGTTCTCTTCCAATGCACAAGTTTCCATCTAAACTTAATTTAGTAGTAATGATAAAGTTCCCAACTGACTATGTCATTCAAGTCTTTTCTAGAAATAACATCTAACATTTATGGTAACATGCCAGGCACTGTTCTCAGAATTTTGCATGTAGCCTTTCTCTTCTGAAAAACCCATTAAGTAAAATACACCGGTTCTATTTTATAGGTGAAATAACCAAGGCAGAGAATGTTAGAGTAGATTTTTTTGCAAAGGTCACAAGGGATATAATTTGTGGACCCAAAATTTTACCAACTACTCTAGCTCGAGCTCATTGTTATAAGCTACCAGTAAGATGACTATGTAGTGAATCACTCTGCATTTGATAAAATGTGCAAATGTTAAGGTTGTGTCAACTAAGGGTGTACACTTTGTTTCCTAGTAGCTATGTGGCATAAATATGTTATTGAACTTTTCCAATCTTCAGTTTTCTTTCTGTAAAATGGGAATAATGAAGAAACAGGTCTTATGTCATAGGTCTATCAGTAGGGTTTAGAGACATTACGTATGTGATGTGTTAACAGAATGCGTGGTATACAAGTACAACATAAATATTATTAGCTATCACTAGGACTTATCTTCATTTTCATAAACTCTTCTTAGAGGTAGTATTTCCTAAAGCGAATCTCCCCAACACTGGGATAATAAAGAGACCTAGAACCACACATGGTAACACACATCTGGACCCCCAGCACTGGGGAGGCTAAGGTAGAAGGATTGTGAATGTGAGGCCAGCACAAGCTACAAGGCAAAACCCAAGAATGTGTTAGGCATTGTAGGAACTTACAGTCAATCCTCTGACATCAAAAATATGCAATCAAACCAACTAATTGCAGAACAGACACAAATACCAAAAACTATCTTTGAGCTTTTTTTCCTAACCAGATGTACCTATGGTTTCTAAGTTTTCCTTTCCTTCTGAAGGTGTGGTAGCAAAAATAGGTGGAGAAGCTTGAAAACTCCCTCCCAAATTCAGTGTGAAACATGGAAGCTTCAGAAGAAAATGAACTGCATGCTCTTATCCTTACCTCCCCCAAATGGTTTAGCTCTCTGGGACTAATGGTCTCTTTTAACCAAACAGAAGGGAAAACACAAGGTAGGAGCTAGAAGCTCAGAAGAAAGAAAGAAAGATGCAAATTAGAGAGGGGAAAATGAATTAGGAAGGGAAAATACTGGTTAGTAAGTTTAAGGAAACATGTTGTTATTGTGCTTCATTTTACCATGTGTCTATTGCCTCGGAAACCAACCAATTGGCTGCTTCTAAGATTGTCTATCCTGACACATTTAGCTCATAAAACCAGAGTATAAAGAAAGGCACAGTGCACAGGAGGACTTTTATCTAAGAGCAGAGCCAACATTATACTATGTATCCTACAGCCTGGCTTTCAATCAGCTCTCAGAACCATGGCTAAATCGTAATCCTCACAGACTGTGGATTCCATTAGAGAAGTAGCTTCTACAACTCCAAAATAAGGATCTAAAACATTCCTGTGGCCACAGCAGGAAACCCAGGAACCTAATTTCTAAATCATAAGGCCATTTCTCTGTCGTTTTCAGTAGCCATGCTATTTGAAGACCTTTTGCAATGTCACACCAGGGAGTGATATTGTGCCTGTTTCCATAAGTATCTGCCACATACCTATAGGATAATCCCCTGTTCTCACAACATAAAGTCATAGCAAACCACACAGCTCTCCACTGCTGCATCCACAGTTTTAAAGCAGAGTAGAATTTGTTGCCTACAAATTAATATAATAAATAATTTCTTTAAAAATGTGAAAGTACTTTTCAGCAGTAAAGCAGCCTGTGCAAACCAAGAGCTCAGTTCATACAAACAAAACTATGTTAAAAATTAATAGAGAATGTTTTTCCAGGGGGTTCTTCTGGATGAACAACAAATCCACCTGTGTATTCACCGTCAGTCTATCCGTCTGATGAACACCTGCTTACTGTCACCCAGACCTCATCCAGTTCTCACCTGCACTATCCAATCCAACCAAGGTGAAGTATAACTGTGTCTGTCACTGTTTCTGTTCTTGACTACCCTTGGGAAGAGAAGGTGTCTTTAGAAAGGAAGATAAAGTCTTGAAAAAATTCCTTTAAAATTTCATAAAGAGGGGTCTATTTCTTTTTTACTAAAATCTGGATCACAAAATATGGACAAGAATTCATTATTTTCAATTTTACAGTAGGAATCAAATATTATCTAAAGCAGTTGTTTAAAATTCCCCTGCCTCTGCTTCCTAATTGCTGGGTTATAGACATGTGACATCATATCTGACTTGGAAAAAACTCTTGATCAAATAGCAGCTAAAGTGGATATAATTTTATAACCAGAGACAGGTCTAAATATAAATGACCAGTTTGGATGACTACTAACTCACTTCACAGTACACTAACAGAAAGTCATATGAACATTTGTTCATATAGACTATGTGCAGAAAAGCTTTGGGCACAATAAACCCAGAAGGTAGACAGATACACAGGTCAGAAAGGAACAGGAAAAGCAAATACTTTCAAATACCCTTATTTGTTCTCCACTGGTCCCAGTTTAGCCTGTTATGTCTACTATAACAAAACACCCCCACCTTAGGCAAGTTCTGACACAGCACTGCTTTTTCCATAATGGCCTAGAAAAAAATCTTCTGAAGACACATACGTTTTCTACTTATAAGGTCCTGTTCTGTGGCGCACGAACTTTAAGGGGGAAACATACTGTAAATAGCCCTGTGAGGGTAGTAAATAACTTCCAATGTTGTCTCCCCCCTCCAACATCAAGCTATTTTTCTTTCCTTCCTACCATAATTAACAAGTCAAACAGACTGGAAAAGGTCAGCAGAGTATGTATTGTGTGTAGGAATGCACAAAAAAATAACACCTTGCAAATGTCAAAAATACAGGTTTAATAATGTGCAACTAATGAAGATGGTTTATAAATTAAATGCCACCTACTACACATTTGGTCCCTAAATATATTATGCTATTAGTCATTAAAGTTAGACCTCTAAGTACAAATTCTCCATCTGTGGAAAAGTTATCTGTTTTTAAATTAAAGAGAAATCATTACTTCTTAAAAATAAAACTATCAGGATATAATTCAAGTGTAGCTGCTCATAGTCACTGAGTAAGTTTGATAATAAAACATTTAAATTTCAACCAATGTACCTGTGTTGAAGCACATTTAGCTGAAATAACTTTTAGTCTGGTTTATTTTCATCACATATAGTACATTTTTCCAACAAAAACATGTACATTCAATATAGAACATTTCCAGCAACAATTACAGTCTTTCTAATTTCCTTTCACAGTATATTTTAGTGCAAAGCACTGAGAAGGGTAAATGTTTTTCTAACTATAGAAGCATTTTATTATGACCTTCTAGATCTTCAACATTTAAAAATTTTTACAAAAAGTATACAGATGGACAGGGTCCATTCTAAGTACAGCTGTGAACCTACATAAAAACATGGTATATTTTCTGCAGTACCTTTTAAAATAATTTGACACAAATTACTGAAAAATAAAATATTCCCTAAAAGTACAAAATATCGATACACAAAACCTGCCCAAAATTTCATAAAGATAAATGTATTTCTTTTTTCCTAAAATCTTGATTACAAAAGATGGACAAGAATTCATTATTTTCAATTTTACAGTAGGAATCAAATATTATCTAAAGTGGTCATTTAAAATTTTTCCTTGGGAGAAAAAAAAATTAGGATGGACACCCCTATCTTCCTTTTCCAGCAACATTTAAAGAAATAAAACTAGAAACACAAGAAGTGGTTGCATATGGATTGTCTGCCCCTATAAAATATTAGTAAGCTATTTATTACCTTCATATAAACATTAGTAAATGTGTGTTCTTTAAAAAAATAGGAACTGAGAAATAAGATCGCATCTATCATTAAAGTGCTTTATATAAAATTTAAAGAAAAATAGGGGAATGTTTAATTTTCATAAAAACTTCTGATGTTTACAAATGATAAATGTAATAATGATCTATGCATAAAATGAACTGGAACTTTCTTTGAAGTATGTATTTTAGAATAAAACTTTCAAACATTTAAGTGCTAAAGAAAAACTCAAATATAAATGGATGCAAAATAATTATAAATATTCAGTAGGCTACTAAATATTCATAATATATTGATACTAATTTGTCTTTTGATCCTAACATACTTTCTACAAAAAAAAATCATATTTACCTATACAATCTAGATAAAATTTTGCATGTAAAGTGAAATAAACTTAAACCACTAAAAATACAAAGTTTCTATCAATTAAAAACTATTATTTTCTTCATGTTGTTGATCATTTTAATCAACAAATTATTTGGAAAGCAAAATTCCCAACATTTTTATAGAAATTGTAGACCATATATACAGGGTCTATGAAGACAATATAGAATATCACAGCTACTCGAAAGTGCTGGAATGGGCATTGCCTTAGAAACTGGTTAGATGGTTACTGTTTTAGTCAGAAATCAGCAGTTACAGTTGAAAATTTATGAAAATGTTCTTTTTTTTCCTCATAGTACCATGTGAAGACGTTTAGTGGTTCTAACAACTTAAAGTCTTTCCACAAAAATGAACTCCAAACCTTTTCGTACATCACTTGAAGTTATCTGAGGAGAAATAGGAATAAATGAACACTTTTGAGTTTACCAGTGAAACCTTGGTCTTAAGTTACACAACAGTAAATGACTTCTAAAGGACGGCTTCATCTCAAGTTTTGCACACAAGTAAAACAATGTGACAATCAAACCACATTAACACCTAGGCACTCAAACTAAAAGACCTTTGCTCTAGAGCCTGTATCTCAAGCGTGTTTAATACTAAGTACATTAAATGTCTCATTGCAAGGGGCAAAGGTGCTGCGAGCAAACCCTAAAATATCTAGACTTAGGAAAAACAAGTATTGGGAGTCTACTCCTTATTTTATATTGCATTTTAAAATCTTTAATTTGTTCCAAAACTTTCTTTAAAAAGTAGAACTGTTCTTTCTTCCAAATGGGGGTTTTGCCTTCCTTTTGCGTTCTCTCTCTCTCTCTTTCTCTCTCTTCTCTCTCTCTCTCTCTCTCTCTCTCTCTCTCTCTTTCTCTCTCTCACACACACACACACACACACACACACCTACTGAACAATACTATGTTGAAATGATCACTGATAAGTTTATTAAACAGAAAGGGAAACAGGAGTGTATGTACCTAAAAAAATCTTTCCCCTATAGATCAAAACTTAAAAACTCACTAACACATACTCCCAAAGAGAAGAAAAAAATTCAAACTTTTGTTTGCTAACTTTTCCCCTTCCTCTGGAAGCTAAAAGTAAATAACAAGTGCTAATTCTTCTAAATTCCATCTGGGGATTTTTTTTTCCTAAGTGCTACACTTCATTTAACCTACAAATTTTTATAATTACAGTGCCTTAAAATGTTTTCCTAAAATTATCTCCTTCATAAATTCATTCTGATATACTTAACTTTCCTACAATGAATTAGGATTAGTAGACTAAATAAAATTAGTAGACTGAGTCAAATTAAACCTGTGCAAGTTAGTTCACCGTGAGATTCTATGTAAACATAGACCAAAATAAATGTACTTTACAACGTTAAAACAAAAGCACTAACCCTGTGTCATCTGCCTAAAACTACATTGCATTGTCCTCTGGAAGGCAAGTTCTGAGATTAACTTTTGTTCCCAAGCTACTAGAATAAAGGTCACTGAGAGATAAAAGCAATAACCATCCCTCTTGCTGTTCCTACTGCTATATGATTTATCAAAGAAAATGTTAAAATGGAACCAGCTATAAATTATGGCCAAATGACTTTTTTTTTTTTTTAAGTTCGATGAGGGGGAGGGGGAACAAAACTCTGTAACTGTTCCTCACCAGACAAGAGCCTTAGATCTTGTACTTCGGCCTTTGGTTTTGTTTCCTTCAGGTGAATTGGTAGCATTTGCCTTATGAGTTTTCTTATGATGTTCAAGGTAAGTCTTTTTGGCAAATGCCTTTCCACATTTATTGCATCTGTGAAGAGAAAAGTTTTTTGTGACTTTCACTTCGATACCGACGTCAGCTACTTCATACTTTTTACTAGGAGAACTGGAAGTGCCATCATGCTTTGAATCACTATGTTTCGCTTCATCCCTTGAAGGGCCTCTTTTTGCCACTTTGTTTAGAACAAAATCAATAGGCTTTTTTATAGCTCTGATTTCTAAACTGGCTGTTATTTTCCCAAGGTAGCGAGATGACTTTTTATGAACCACAGTTATATGTCTTATCACATCACGTTTCCGACGAGTTTCGTAAGTGCAGAGAGGACACTTGTAGAATTTAACATAAATGTTATTTCCATCTGTGTGCAACTCTATGTGTTTAGTCAAGTTCTGCTTGGAAGTAAACTGGCGTTTACAGAGTTTACAGTAAAGTTGCTTAAAGTCAAAGCCAGCTGAAAGTTTTGGTTTCCTGACTTTTTGCTGGCCACCTGCAGCCGAAGGACTAGCTGATTTAGGGCTTTCAGAGTCCTGTTTAACTTTATTTTTCTGTGTTGCCGGTGTGTTCTTTTTCTCATTTGAATGATTTGTTCCCTTTAATTCATTCTGTGGAGAATGGGTAATAGAAGGGAGTGAAGATTCCACAGACTCTGCTGGTTCAACTTTAACTTTTATTTCGGAACTGCTGGCAGTATTATTCGGGCCTTTCTCTCTCTTAGAGTTCGCTCCAGAAAGAGTTATCTTGTGGACAATTTGCATATGTCTCTTAAGCATTATTTGTGAACTATATTTCCTCTTGCAAAGGAGGCATTTGCATGCAGTTAAATTGTATTCAGCCTTTGAAGACTTTTGTTTCCGAGTCTTAAAAGATTTTTTAGGAGAAGCGGAATCCAGGAACAAAGGCTGCCCAGGCTTTGTTGCTATATCAGGAGTAATTGAATCCCTCCTCAGTCCTCGATGAACTTCATCAAAATGCCTCCTTACATTCGCCTTTGTAGCAAATGATTTACAACAAACCGGACAGCTCCTGCTTAATGAAACTAGAACACTCTTACTGCGTCCTTCCAAAGACTGGTTTGGAGCCTTCCGTGTTTCAATGTACTTTTTCAGTTCCTCCATCTTTTTCTTGTGCACTTTCCGAATGTGACGACGGACACCTCGTCTAGAATTGAATTCTTTTCTACAAAGACAACATATCAACTGGTGACCAAGGTCAGAACTATCAGACGTTTCCACGTCAGCCTGGGATTCCTGAGGTTGCTCCTCAGAGGAAGGTGCAGCTTCATCGACAACAGTCTCTACAGGAGGAGGCTCCACGGCTTCCACCACATCTGGATCTGTGTCTGGGACTGCTTTTGGCTGCTCCGTGCTTGTCTCCTGTACTTGCACTTCAGTTTGTTCAGGGGTACTGCTCGACTCTGTGACTTCAGCAGGGTTATCAGTCCTTGAAATATATTGAAACACTGCATTCTGATTGGTTTCTATGGGTTCTAGCTTAATAATATACTCTCTCTTGTCCACTCTTGGATATATGGCTTCTAGGAGATCATTTATGGCTTGGCTTTGCTTATCATTTACATCAGGAAGGTCTGTTAAGGAAAAAAAAAATTGTTTTTAACCTGAAATGATTAACCTATTCTAACCCTCTAATATTTTAAAATATATAATGAAGTTTATCTTTTAGTAGTATGTTTCTTTTTATAGCATTATCTACTTTTCAGCATTTTATGAATATAAAATCTAGCTATTAACTAAATTAAAACTTTGCTTTAATTTATCATCAGATGAGAAAGGTGAAATATGAAGCATTACTTCTACTTCTAAGTTCCCTTATTATAAAATACATAAGCACATGGATAGTCCTAAAGAATAAAAATACTATTACTTATTTATAGTCTGAAAATTTAAGAGAACCAAAGCCAACTCAAGTTCTTACAACCTGGGATGGATAAAATATCAGGAAGGATGCTACCATATATAAATGATTTTTAATACAATATAATAGTATTCTAGCTAATGTAAGTCTAATAAACAATGTAACTTAATTCTACTGGGACAGTTGAACATCTCACAGAAATAAAAAATGTCTGCAAGCCAACATAAATGGCATGAGGTATAAAAACCCAGTCTTAAACCATTTTCTCAACATGACAAAATTTTACTGAAACAACTGGTTAGAAACTATTAGTCTACAAATAGAGCTGGTTTTACTTACTTGTACAATAGCAACCCCCTCTATAGGCAACCAAATAGTCTGCTGCAACAAGACTGGCTGGCATCCCTTATGTTTCCACATACAACTCTAAAATCTAGTTACAAATATAATACTAAATCTAGTAACTATTTAGAAATCAAAACATAATCCATTGTAGTTCTTCTAATCCTCTTTCCCTTTTTCCTCATTTTTCATGGGTGTGTTTGGGTGTGAGTGTGTTTACATATGTGGGTGCTTGCGTGTAGGTATATGTGTGTGTGTGCATATGGAGGCCCAAGGTTGATGCTGGGAATCATCCTCCATCAACATCACCTTATTCATTGAGGCAGGTTCTCTTAATCAAACCTACAACTCCCTAATGTGTCTGCTTGCTTTAGCGATTCCCCTGTTTCCACTTTCTGAGGCTGGACTTACAGGCAGGCTACCATGACCACTCTGTATGTATGGGGGTTTTGGAGACACGAACTCTGACCTCAACCTTGTGTGACAAGAGTCATTCTTTGTTTTTGTAAATAGTAAAGCAGCATGGTAATACTTTCATAAAAGTATATGTAGAACTGCCAAAAGAAAGTACGTGTAGAAATGCCAAGAAGAATGCACAATAATCTGGCAAGTCCATTTATAATTTATACTATGTAAATTACCTCTACATCCTAAATGTAATGAAAAACATCAAGAAATAAAATACTACTTTAATTAAAATGTTAAATTTTTAAACTGATTCCTCTAGAATACCTTTTAATTTATAGCTTAATAATAAAAAGTTCAGTAAGCTCAAATACAAGTATACGGATTGTCTTAAATAATAAAAAATGGCCAGGTAATAGTGGCCCACACCTTTAATCCCAGCCCTTGGCAGGTGGATCTCTGAGTTCGAGGCCAGTCTGGTCTACAGAGCAAGTTCCAAGACAGCCAGGGCTACACAGAGTAACCATGTCTTGAAAAACCAAAAACAAAAATAAAAACAAAAAAAAGAAAGATTTAAACACTAAAAATGTTACTATTTTTAGTCTCAAAGTTTTAGACTGGCAAAACCAACCCAAAGTTTCCATAACCCAGGATGGATAAAACACCATGAAGAATTATCTTATAAATGAGTTTCCATAAAATATAACCATATTCTTCATGTAAAAATTTCTAGACAAATATGAAATATTTATTCAATCTATACCCTATAGCACACTTAACATAGTTTGATAATAATTAAAAAAATACTCCACTGTTCAGTTTTTATATTATATCTCCTTACCAAAAAACTTAAAAATAAAAAAGGTGAGTTGAGAAATGCAAAAGATCCAAAATATATCTATGGTATCAGGCTAATAAGGTAAGTATCTAATTTTTTTTAAGTCCACAAAGTTTAAATCCCTGAACAAGAAAAAATGAAGTTACTTAGTATTACTATGTTTTAAAGAATGAATTAATTCTTTAAAGTAAGAAAATAATAACACTATACATATTACTTATTTATTCATACAAGAAAAGTACATTTAATTCAGTCATTTGGTTCTACAAAGACTATTAGCATGTCACTTGCCTTCATCACAAGAAGTACTAATCCTGTTAGTCTAGATATACTCTAACACTGATTATGTAACATCTAAATAAATTCCACTAAGAACAAATCTGACCTTCAAATTAAGGTCCAGAAAACACTAGAAAAATTAATAAATATTTTTAATGCTCTCTGCGATTCCCAAAATATCAACTAATTTACTCATTCTCTGCTATTTATTGGAGGCATTCTCATTTACTTAAGGAGACTCTAAGTGATCAATCACATTTAGCAACAAGTTGTTAAATTAGAAGAAATATACCATGAAATTGCTCCCTAAAAGACAGCTTAATATTGTTAACTTTCAAATACTAACTAAACTATATGAACCACATAAACATTCAAAAACAATCATCAATATTTCAATACAAATAAATATACTCACAGATATAAATTCACAGATTAGGAAAATCCAAATGGAAAACACTGATATAAAAGTACTATCCAAGGAACTAAATATAACAATGTCAAGTGTTTCATTTTATTCTCCATCACTAAACTATCTATAACTAGAATACCACTTTTGTGCAAAATACATAAAAGCAGTAAAAAAAAAATACTTAACTCTAAAATGCATATAAATAAAACTTACTGTCATCCATTTGGAGACTTGGTGGGCAGTAAAATTTCTTATGGGTAATTAAATTTGGTAATCCTCTAAAGAGACTACGGCATAATTTACATTCAAAAATAGTGTCCACATCTTTTAACAAAATATGTTTAAGTTGTTTGGTTCCTGGAGGGAAAAGAAATACATGAAAGTTAATTCTGACCAGCACTTTTAAATAAGGTATTAACTGTTGATAATTCAAAAACGGTTACTCTGAAAACAAAATACAGAAATAATGTCAATTTCTACCACAGAATATTTATTAACTAATTGATAAAATAAGTTCTAAGCAAATATTATATGATTTGGCAATTTACACAGCCAAAAACAATGCCCTTTTTCTACTTCAGTAGCCAATCAATTCACTGGCTACACCAAGGCAGTAGTTTTGACATCTGATTGAACATTCAAGTGAGGTGAGAATAAAGATATACATGGCCCTTCCTAGAGATTCTAAGTCAGTAAGTCTGGAATAAGGTGAGAAAATGTTTCCCATCACTCTTGAAAATTTTCTGCTAGTTCGGCCAGCTCTTTTCTAAATCTGCAAGTGAAAAATAAGAGGTTTTGGTTTTGGTTTTTATCACATTTCCCAATTCATTAAAGGTCCAAATTCTTATCACAGGATTATTTATGAACATCCTTTTAAAATTCAGTTATAGTACTTTAGGCTCTGGGCCAATACAGAGTTATGTGATAAAGCAGAGAATCTCTTTCCCTACTGAAAGAGAATTTTGAATTTTGCTCAGGCTTCTTGATAGCATTATCAATTTATATATCTCAATCCTTTATCCATGAGAACTCTTACCCCAATTCCAATTACTTATCAATATAGTTACTGTAGTCCAATATCTGTCTTATCCATTGATTATAAATCCTCAAAGCAGCCAACACCAAGCTTACTATATTTATAACCACAAGGTGTTCAGTTCTAATAACAGAGAAATGCTACTGACCTAAGGAACTAAGCATTATGGTGGAAGATCAAAAGACATAGAATAATTGGCAAAAATCATCAACTCTTTAAAGCATCCACAAGGAATAAAGCATAAGATTTTTTGTTGTTACTTCCTACAGGTCTTTGCTATAGTAACTTACTAATTAATAATAAATACCTTAATTTTGTTACTTTCATTGACAAGGTATTCTGCATAATACCCTTAAGAACACTTAAGTGCTGAATGTCCTATCATTTAACACGCATTTGACTGTCTACAAAGCTCTGGTACTACTGAAAAATATAAACTACCTTAACATAGTGAAATTAAAACTGTAAGGTCTGTCACATCCAAAACATTAGATGGAGCTGGTAGAACCCCTCGGAAGAGGAGGAGGAACGATTGTAGGAGCCAGATGGGTGGAGGACACCAGGAAAGCAGAGCCCACAGAATCAACTATGCAGGGCTCACAGGAGCTCAGAGACTGAAGCAGCAGTCAGGAGCCTGCATGGGTCTACTGTAGGTCCTCTGCATTCATACTGTGGTTGTTTAGCTTGGGGTGTTTGTGGAACTTCTAACAGTGGGAGTGGGGTGTCTCTGACTCTTTTGCCTGGGACACTTTTCCTCCTCCTGCGTTGCCTCGTCCAGTCTTGATGTGAGGGTTTGCGCCTAGTCTTACTGCATTTTGTTATACCGTGTTGGGTTGATATCATTGAGAAGCCTGCTCTTTTCTGAAGGGAAAGGAAGGAGCAGTGGATCTGGAGGAGAGGGGGTGGGGGAGGGGGAACTGAGAGGAGAAGAGGAAGGGGAGGCTGCTGTCAAGATGTATTGTGTAGGAGAAGAATAAATAAAAAGAAAAAAGAAAAACATTGTAGGGGCTATAAAAGTTCAATGTGTCTAACCCAATCTTTAGCAATCTATTTTTACTTAGCGCTCTACCACTAAGCTAAATCCCCAACCCCTTATCATTTTAAAGATGGGTCATCTCTCAAAATTCTATTGCAAAATATTGCTTAAAGGGTTATTAGAACATTACTAAGTGTTTAAAGATAACAAGTATGATCCAGTCTAGTTATATTATCTTCAAGAGCTATATAATATCTGCATTTTTGGTTCATCCACCTTGTATCATAGAGCAAAACAAACCAAAACTAGTCATTTCACATTACAAAAGAATTTCATGATAGACAGCTATACTTGGTTCCTAACTAGCCCCAAAATGATTAACAAACTAGATGTGGTAAACCTGGGATTTAAATACTTTGGTTAAACCTCTTTAACAGATGCACGCACATTTAGTTTCACAAAATGTAGCTGAATATAGGACTAGTGGGAAGAAAAAAATGAAAATTATACATACTAATTCTAAATTAAAAGATCCACTATATTCAAAATAGAGATTGAATCTTGCCTTTAAAAATTGTCAACAGAACCTACTGTGGTAAATGCACCAGCAGCATGATATACTGAAGAGGCAGAGGCAAGAGGATCATGAGCAAGGCAATCTGGACTATACCTTTGGGGCTCGAGAGATGGCTCTGCAGTAAAAAGTACCTACTGCCCTTGCAGAAGACCTGGGTTTGGTTCCCACCTCCCATGTGGAGGCTCACAAGCATCCATAAATCCAGTTCCAGGGGATCCAACAACCTCTTTGGCTTCTGTAGGTACCAGGCATGCACATGGTACCAAACATGCATGCAAACAAAACACTTGCACACATAAAATAAAAATAAATAAATCTTTTTTTAAAATAGTCAAAACATTGAAGGAAAAAAGGTTGAAGAAAAACAAAGAAATCTATTTAACTAAAAAAATGCAACTAAAGGGGTTAGAAAGACAGCTCAGTGACTAAGAGCATCTGCTCTTGCAGAGGACCCAAGTTTGGTTCTCACAACTGCCTACAACTCCAGTTCCCCAAGGGTTCTAACACCTCTGGCCCATGCAAGTACCTACACTCATATGTAAACCCACACACACATATACACACACATAGACATAACAATTAAAAAAACTAAGATTTAATTCAACTTTAAATTTAAATAAGTGAATAGCAGCATATTGAAAACATTACCCATCTTATATAAACATGGTTATAATTAATTTAAAAATAGTGAAGTGCAAAAGATTATATCCTTGAATTAAGTAACCACTTCGTTCACTAGGATCTCTCAATCATAGAAAAAGAAAGACATCAATTTCTTAATTAATCCTAGTTAGATAGTTATATTCAGTACCGAGCATATTACTTACTCCCAATAGGCATTTAAAAAATTATCTCCTCTAACCTATCAGTTATAAACACTTTCCTCAAAATGCAAACACACACACACACCAGTTACTGTTGACTCAGGCACACCAATTTCTTTTGGGTCAAAAATACAATAAACCCTTTCTGAATGGAGATGGAGGAGGAGTGGATGGGGCGGGGGATAGAAGGGAGGTGAATGGGAGGAGAGGAAGGAGGGGAAACTGTGGTTGGTATATAAAATAAATTTTAAAAAATTAACAAGAAATACAACAAATGTTCTCTTGCTCCTCTGTCCTTTGTATGCCATCACCCATGTTATTCTTACTATAACGTCTCCTTCCCTAGTCTGATTCACTTATGACACTTCAGATCCAGGTAAGCAGTCACTTCTGCCAGTATGCCTTCTCTGACCTTCCTATAAGACGCTCTCACCTGCACTCTCAGTGCCCCTTACATCTACCCAACTTTCCCCACTATCCTGTACGTAGTTACTGTTCTATGTACCTACTATGCCAAGATACCTAAAGGAAAAGTTCTCTTTGACACTCACTTGTACTACTATCCTCAGGACAATGCCTGAATGACTTTCAGTATAACTTTCTATATATTTATGAGTATCACTGTTTTCAATCTATGTGTAGTTGACTTGATAATCAAAAAGGTTTTCTAATTCCACATACAAACATTTTACAAAGGAAAAGGTAAGATGTGTCTTGTTGCATAAACAGATATTAAAAGATTTCCTCTAGTTTCAGCCACCATTTAAGATGTTATATTTTTCACATCAGAACACAATGGATTTCTTCAAAATCAGCTACCATTTTTCTGATTGCTTTGTCACAGCAGACACAGGCTCTGTCATACTAAAATTCCTCCTCACCCAAGAAACAGGCAGGGTCATCTAGACAGCAACATAAAGTTCGTCTACACTCTGAATCCTGAGAAACAGAGCCATGCTGATTTTCTCTAAACAATTCCTTTTTGAAAAAAATTGCTCTCTTTCTTGCTTAGGTTCTTAAATTAAATTAGAAGTCACTGCTAACTGCTTAATAGATCATCAACCAGAATCTTAAAAAAAAAATGCCAAAGGGTAAGAGTTTCGAAATGGAATACTGGCACATAAATTTATAAGTAGGATAAAATTACTTTAAAACTATACCTACTTGCCGGGCAGTGGTTTGTTTGTTTGTTTGTTTGTTTGTTTAAAGATAATATAACTTTAGATATAAAATATATATCAGAGACTGAAGAGAGTTTCAGGGTTGAGAGTACTTGCTGCTCTTCCAAATGACTACTTTCAGTTCCCAGAATCCATGTCAGGTGGCTCACAACCGCCTATAACTCCAGTTCCAGGGGATTGGATGTCCTCTTCTGGACTCCTCAGACACTGCATTCATGCACACAGGTATACACACACACACACACACACACACACACACACACACACACACACACACAAAGAAAGAAAGATCCCATCAAAGAATAGAGCACTCTCTGTTATATACCTTTCACAGACCTTACTTCCATGCTAAGCTTATCTAGAATTAAAAATACAGCAACATAAATTCAGTCATGGCTTACACTAACTTCAACTAAAGTTACTTCAATCAGAAAAAAAGTACTTTGAGATGATAAAATCTAGGAAGGCAACAGCAAGAACTATTACACAAAATACTTATTTTTCACCAGCATACCACAAATTAACAATTTATTCTTTCCTGGGGAGGGGACGATGAAGTTCCTTACATATAGTAGTATAGTATATTCTATATGTACAGAACCTTTTCTCTATAATTTGATATAATATTTTTATAATACATTTAAATTTTAACATGTCACTTTCATATTAAAGACTAGTTTTGTTTGAATGCTGGACACCTTCCCTCATTTTCCTGTTTCTAACTTTGGGGCATTCTACAGCTTCTTTGCCTCTGTAAGATGACTAAGAGACTAAAAGAATATAATCTCAACTAAATCAGTGTAAATAAATATCTAAAAGATGTTCAGTAAATATCTAAAGGTGTTGTGTGTTTTTTCTTCAAAACTGTGTTTTGAAGGGAGTGAGAGAAGAAGATCAGCCAAACATGTTAAGAAAAAGGAGGGAAGCCTGAGGACATCACATCTCAGGTGTGATCCTACAAGTATTTATTCAGGCATGATAAGACTCCTGGAAGGCATAGGGCATGGAATAGGTAGTACCAGAGGCTAGTATTTGGAGCAAACAGCAGCTTTCAAGTCATCCATCAGGGTTCAGAGTAGAAAATGTAGAGCCACATTTAACTCTACAGTAATTTCAACAACCAAATCTACCCACGAAGCAAAGCTAGACAAGAATGTACATCTGCTACCATTTCTACTGGGAGGAAACAAGAATATGCTTATGCATGGATAAAAGGAAGAGGACACAACTAGGCACCAGTAGTCACTTGTGCAAAGGGGTAGGGGAAGCTTTCTTTTTGCCCTATAAACTGTTATATCCACATTATCATTTCTTCCCCCCCCCAAAAAAAAAACTACTTAAATTTTACAAATCAAGCAGTTAGAAATAATAGATAGCAGAGGTCAGAAAGAATTTTTTATTTAAAGCCAAGAAACTAGTACAAAGCAAACACAAACACTGAAATCTAAAGCAGTAAGAATGGGTTAAAACTGCCCAGGAGTCAATGCAGCACACATGAGCTGGTGAAGATGAGTCAACTTCTTCTCCAGACAGGCCTTTAGGGGTTTCCAGCTTGGGTAGGAATTAGTATCAGCTCAGGGACAGCCCAGTGTGGAAGGAAGGAAGTAAGAAACTCAAAGATGGCACAGGAGTTGAAGACCAACATCTGAGCTTGAAGATGCAGGCAGATCCTACAGCACTCCTATCCAACCTGAGTTAGCCTGTCACTTACTAAGCAGACTCATGGACTTCACAGTTGTACTGTCAAGTACCTATCGGATACACAGCACTACCAGGATAGTTTTTTCAACACAAAGTGTGTGACCTAGATACAGTGGAAAGAGGCTGGAAAGAGATGAGTCACTGAGGGTGTGCTTATAGAAGACTGGGTCAGGGAGGAACTGAATCTCAAGTCAGAATGGACATTAAACCCGTAAGTCATTCTCCTAAGGTTTACCTTAGCCTGAAACACCTTTGTCCTACAAAGAGCTGCTTCAGTAGACTTTAGATTGACTAGATATGTGAGAGATTATTGTCCTGGGGAAATTAAAATTTCTGACTTATGGGACACAATAATGAATTAATTCTCCCTTAATCCAAAATTAATTTCTCTGCACAACTCTGCACATTTCTAAATCACCTCTAATTTAAATTATAGTTATTTTCAGAATTTTTCTATATTAAAAAATAACTCAATGTGTTGGGGAAATTTTTTTTAAAGCACTTTTAGCTAGTTTTATATCAACTGTATGTCAAGTTAAGTCATCTGAGAGGAAGAGAGCCTCAACTGAAAAAATCCCCCAACTAGATTGGTTTCTAGGCCTGTCTGTGGGGCATTTTCCTGAGTGGTGACTGATGAGGGAGGGCCCAGTCTACTGTGGGTGGTGCCATCCCTGGGCAGGTGGGCCTGGGTGCTGTAAGAAAGAAGGCTGAGTAAGCCATGGGAAGCAAGCCAGTAAGCAGCCTTCCTCCATGGCCTCTGCATCAACTCCTGTTCCCAGGTTCCTGCCCTGACTTCTTTCAATGAAGGATTGTGATGTAAAAGTGTAAGATGAAATAAACCCTTTTCCTGACCAAGTTGCTTTTGGTCATAGTGTTTTATCACAGCAATAAAATCTCTAACTAAAACAAACACATTTCAAAAGACAAACAAACAACTATGGAATGACATCGATTCTGATCACCTATCTCACTGCCCCATCTGTAGCTTATGTAGTAAAGAACTGGCAAACACAGACAACCAATGACTGCAGTGCAGGAAGAGAACACTAACTTCATCTCTGGTTTCCTTCTCTAGTGGTTTGAGTGGGAATAGCCCCTGTTGTGGAATACTATTTTAAGATGTGTTCGTTTATGCTGTGGAACATTTGTTTAATGATGTAAAGCTGTGCTGCATTCTTTTATGATGCATTTGTTTAATTCTGTGAAGCTGTGTTACTGTGCCTGTCTAAAACACCTGATTGGTCTAATAAAGATCTGAATGGCCAATAGCCAGTGGGGAGAAAAGATAAGCGGGGCTGGCGGGCAGAGAACAAATAGGAGAAATCTGGGAGGAATAAAGAAGAAACAGCAAGAAAGAAGCAGCGAGAAAAGGAGCCAGCCACAGAGTAAGAGTGAAAGTAAGATTTACAGAAGTAAGAAAAGGAAAAAGCCCAGAGGCAAAAGGTAGATGGGATAATTAAAGTTGAGGAAAGCTGGCAAGCAAATAAGCTAAGCTAAGCCTGGGCATTCAAAGAAATACTAAGTCTCCCTGTGTATTTATTTGGGAGCTGGGTGGCGAGCCCTGCAAAAGAGCAAAAACAACCAACAACAGCCCCTCTAGGCTCATATACTTGGATGCTTGGTCACCAGGGAGTGGCATTATCTAAAAGGATTAGGATTAGGAAGTGTGACCTTGTTGAAAAAAATTTGTCACTGGGGGTGGGCTTTGAGGTTTCAAAAGCCCAACCCAGGCCCAGTGTATCTCTCTCTCTCTCCCTCTCTGACTGTGGACCAGGATGTAGCTCTCAGCTCCTGTTCCAGTATCATGCATACCTCAATTCTCCCTGCAATGATGATAATGAACTAAATCTCTGAAACTGTAAGCCAGCCTTGATAAAGTCTTTTGTAAGAGTTGCCATGGTCATGGTGTCTCTTTACAGCAATAGAACACCTTCCAAAATTAAAAAAAAACACACTAACTTTGTATACATAACCTTCTGAAAAGCATTTTATAAGATAAATCGTTTATGGAGTAATCATAAAATAATACAGTAATAAACTAAGGCAGTAAAAAGTAACCTTAACTCTAAATTTTGAATTTTTTAAAAGAAGCCAAGTTATACTACTAAATGGGAAAAACTATTATTCTCATTTTCATTACAAAGAACAAAAAAATATTTATCTCTGTTTTAAAATTGCTAAAACAAACAGAAATGAACTAATATTCTCTTATGCAAGAAATATAAACCACTCCTAACAAATGAAAGTTGTCTATTCATCATAGGTGACTTTGACTTTAGATTATTCTGTTAATCAAGGATGGGTATCAAAAGTAACAACAACAAATATTCAAAATCAGGTAGACACCTAGCATAAAGATAGTTATAAGACGGGCACTGTGACACTTCTTGTAGTAAAGACAACAGACATAAAAGCCATGTCTAAGTCCACAAAATGGTTCTTGGAGCTCAGAGAAAAAGTTAATCTATTTCTTTGAATCATAAAGTAAAGCAAATGTTTATTTCACTTCTCTACAATTTTTTTCTTTAAAAACAATTTATTAATGTATTTTGTTTGTGTGTGCCTGAGTGTGTGTGTATGTATGTATACATACATATATACATATTACATGTATGAAGTCACCTGCATGAGAAGAGGATGTTGGTTCCCCTGGAATTAAGAGTTACAGGCAGCTATAAAGTGTTACATGGATGCAGAAAACTGAACGTGGGTCTTCTGCAAGGATAATAAGTACTCTTAACCACTGAACCAACTCTCCTATCCCTCCCTATGCTATTTTAAAACAAGGACTTCAAAAAACTTATTATTATTATTATTATTATTATTATTATTATTATTATTATTTTAAATAATGATGAGATCCTACTATCCATTAATTAGGTGCCAATTCATTGTATTTATCTGCTTATTGATGCTTGACTGAACGGTGATGTCCGAACATAAATCTATGAAAAATACATAAAGAGTTGTAAGAATCATAGCAATCTATGATCTCACTGATAACACAGGAGCCCTCACTTCTCAGTCACTTACATGTAATGCATAACACCTATTCTAAAGCACTGAACTGTAACTTTACAAATATAACATAGCCAATTCCTATAATAATCTACAACAAACAGAAGCTTGGGTTTGGACAAGTGGCTGAGAGGTTAAAAGCACTCACTGCTCTTCCAGAGAACCCAGGTTCAATTCCCAAGCACCCACATGGCAGGTCATAACTGTTTATAACTATACTCCAAGGGCTCCAATGCCCTCTTCTGGCTTCTGTGGGCACCAGGCATGCAAGTGGTACAAAGACATACAGGTAGTCAAAACATTCATAAGTGTAAAATAAAATTTTAAAGAAAAGGAATAAAAACTTAATAAACGTATCTAAAGGTATCAGGGCTAGAACAAGTCTTTTTTTCTATCCTGTGCTCTAGTGAAGATAATGAAAACTCTAGAGTTTGGCAGGAGGTAAGCCCTTAAAACAGAAATGATAAGAAATTAATCTAGAATGATATCTCACATAATTTAATATAATTTACACCCAAGTTTATAAAGAACCAGAATAATTGACTGCCTTAAGAAGTAACAGCATTTTATCTTAAAATATACTAGATTCCTCTAAACTATAGTTAAAAAAAAATTTTAATTACTATTTAGTAGGTAGTATTGAAAATTTCCAGACTAGGTCAATATTTATTCATTTGTCTTAAAAATATGACAACTCAAATATACTATAAAGAAAACTAATATACAGGCTTTCTAGATAGTTTTTAATTACTGTGTGATGTCTGAAAAATATAACTAAAATGTTCATACCTGATCGAAAGCACTCAATTATTTGCTGAATACCAGATTTGGATGTCTGTAGTGGTTGCTGTAACAAAGGAGGATCTCCAGGTTCCAGGATATAAACTACATGGGAGACAAACACACACCCCAACCCACAAAAAAGGGTTATTTAAATCACTTTCTATTAAACAATAGTTTGCCACAATCATGTTAATAATGAGAATTATAAGACAAATGAAGCAATGGAGGGAAAACCTCAATCATTCTCAGTATTAAAGACTCAATCAAGGCTAGTTATTAGGTCTGACAGCCAATGCTTACTGCTTTGGCATCAGCAGATACTGTTTGCCTTTTTATTCCCCTTAGAGAACTATATTTAACAAAAACCCTTAAGGCTATGGTGGCTTAACCATACCCAGTAAACCCTTCCAAAAGCCTTAAAAAAAAAAAAAAAAAAAAAAAAAACCTGATGAAGCACCCTGGACAATCATGAGAACAAAACTCAAACCCAACTGCCTAAGAAAGAAATAGACAAGTATAGAATTATAGGCATACAAGACTTCCATTGAAGTACTCTGTAGCACTGTATTAACTGAGAGAAACTTCAAATTTCGAAGTCTCTTTATAGGGACCAAACTAAAAGCTATGAAATAGTCACATAACAGCTGAAAAGCACCAGCCAGCTCTACTGTACTGACAACAAAGGATGTCAGTATTGTTAAATAATAAAAACAGGGTATAGACGATGACCTATTTACATTAATACATATTTATGCAGATACAGAAATAGAGAAATTTAGTTGATATCGGTATGTGTGTAGATGATAAGAGAAAGTTATCTTGGAAGGGTACCAACAGAATTTAGCAAAGGTTTTGTGAGGGTGGTTTACCAAGGATAATGTTCACTTTCTGCCTCACATTTCTATTACTTCAGAGCATAGAAATTAGGCATTTTAGAAATAAAGTAAAAATAACTTTTCCATTTTAAAAATAAAAATTTTCACTTTCATATCTAGTAGCATTATTGCCCCCTCCCCTTTGCAAATTCTCAGATGAGCAGAAAAATGAGATCACGTGACACAAGGTAGCTGAAAAGGACAACTGTGTTTCTATCACTTGTCAAATAGCAGGCTGTAGGGAAGAAAAACTGGCCATTTACTTACTTTTAAGAACATAATGTCCTACCCAACTAATGCCATCATAACTCAGGGACCATTCTCTCTGTGTAGGGGTTGGGGCAGCAAGTTCCCTTCAACTGGATGTGCTACTGCCGCTTGGCATCTTAGGCCTGGAGAGCAATTCCATTTTCGACACAGATAAGCTGAGGCTATGGTGCTAGGCATACAGATGCAGCCCTAGACTCTCCTTCACACTTCAAGTACTCAAGTAAGAGGAACCTCTTCTCAGGACCGTATCATCTCACCAAATAAAATCTTACACACTTCAGGTGCATAAAAAGAATATACACAGACAACTAACTCAGTCTGAGAACAATGACAGTAACTGCAGTAATAAGAAATTTAAGTCTCCGAGGCACACTCCTGCATGTCAATTGTGTGGCTCTTTGATGAGGTATAACTAAGACAGCTAAATGCTCAGATCTCTTTTCCTTGTCTCTAACATGGAGCTAACAAATTACCAAAAAAAAAAAAAAAAAGGGAACTTTGTAATTATTAAATAAGATATGATAAAAATTAATCAAAACACAGCCTGGGATATAGCAAGTGCTCAGTAAACATTCCAGCAACATCAGCAATATCATGTACAACTGTTTTCCTTGCACCAAAAACAATCTTTTCACAAAATGTAAGTCAAATCAACCTTTAAAAGCGACAAGAGCAGAGGTTTATTAGCAGTCTGTTAGTGCTGAATTAGAGGGATTGCTTTTCAGTACTTGTGTATGATAGCAATTAATAACTATAAAGCATAATTAGCTACAAAGAGAGTGAAAATCTATCAACTGCAGAGAACTATGGTTTGGCTTTCTAAGGGACAAGAAGCAGAGAATCAGAGAACAGAAAAAAGAAAAATAACAGAGACGGTAAAGGAGAGCTCTGAGGAGAAAGAGACTTTGTCAGAGTTCCTCATTTGGGGGTGTGCTCCAGAAAACTTTCTGTAATATACCACTTCCATTTCCATGTGACAATATCCAACTTCAGGACTAGAGCAAAGTTTCTTATCAACGACCTCACAACACTTCCACTAGAGCACATACACACCCTGAGACAATATTCTAAATAAGCCTGATGTCTTAGCTCTGTCTGCATGGACACATTTACTTAGTAGACATATCTGTGTAGCTCCCACTGTTAAAATATACTTTTTCATTTGAAATGTGTTTGCAAATATATGTATGTATATGTATCCATCTATATGTATACATGTGTGTATACATCTATATATACATATATATGTGTGTGTATACACACACACACACACACACACACACACACACACACACACACACACATTCTAAAATGTCTTCTTATACAACCTGTTGCCTGTTCCAAGATCAGATGATCAGACTCATCCAGGCTATAAACATTTAAAAAACATTATCTCCCCCAACAAAAAACACCCAAACCCTCAGAACATTTTACTTTACACTCTTCCAAGAGCACCTATCTATTTTTGTAGTTCTTGCCTGCCTTAAAACAAGCTCCTTAAAGACCTTTCTAATTATGATATCCAGGATTTGTTACCAAAATACAGAAGTTGGGGGAGAAGTTGGAGAACAGAAGAGAGAATTGTCGGGGAAAGTGAAGAAAAGATGATGGAAAAGAGATTTTCCATGTACTGATAAATGATTAAGTGCATGACGCTTACATCAGATTCCTTGTACCATTGTACTTTTAACAGCTGAAAACTTCTGTTTAAAAAAATTGTTAAAATGAGAATATGTGTGTGTGTGTGTGTGACTTCTAATGCCACCCCTCACTATAAATTGACCCATTCCATCAAAACATAATGGTCTCTTCAGGAACATTCTCATCTGAGGTCTCACCCTCTGTTCATAATGCAAATGAAGACAGACCACTCATGAAAGCCCATTAAAGAATTTCTCAAACATCACATCATCATCCCTCCATCGGAGGACATCTTAATCACTATTATACCATACTTCTTTCAGATCTGGAAATGTCCTCACTCAGCACAGGCCTCCCCTGAAATAATGACAATGAACTAACCCAAAAGTCAGCAAATGTCTAGCTTTCCATTGAAATAAACATTCCTAAGTATTTAGTTCTACCTAAGGAAGAAAATATTAATAAGCAGTAACTTAATTTTTTTAATTAATGGTATTTACTGATTTCTTATTAATGGGAAAGAAAAAATTCAATCCACATTAAAAAATTAAATTCCAGGAAGCATTTTTAAAGGCATTAAGTCTTTTAAATACTTAATTAACATAAATCATGTTCAGAAATTACCTTATTTATTTGTTTAAATCTATCTCTTCCCACTCAAAAGCTATAAAAAAAGCACGGTCTTCTTCACCATTTATATCCCCATTGCCTTGGGTAACACCTGGCACCTAAGAGGTGCTCAATAATGACTTGTTAAAGAAATGAATGAGCAAACAGTAAATGCTATTCAACTCCAGACTATGTAAGCAATACATCTTCACCTCAGATACACAAGAAGTCAGCATGAAGGGCGCTGACATTAGATGGTCCAGGAGCTGAATAAAAACTAGAGGCAATTGTTCTATTAGGATTACTGACACAACAAAATACAACAGACACAAGGCTGGAGCCAAATGGTTATTGTCATGTTCAGCAATGTTTTCTTAAAAGGAGTTTCTTCCCCTTTATTACTACCATTTTTCCCTTCTCAAAAAAAATTATTTAAAATAAACTATGGTAAAAACCTAAATACATGAGTGTAATTAAAATATTTCAATTAAAAACAAGCCAAAGTAGAAAAAAACATACCAACTCTGGTAACTTTTAAGTAAAAAGTGATAAACACTTGTCTTTGAACCAGAATAAAACAGCCTTTATCTGTAGTAACAGTATGTTTTCCATGATGCCCTTTTAAGTTAAGGCCAAAGTTCTAAGAACCATCAATAGCTTACAAGTACAATGTCTGTCAAATTAGAATTCACTAATATTTTTCGTGAGTCAAAAAGTTTTAATATCATAAATTTAACCGAATCACTTCAACTGAAAAATACCTGAAATATACTTAAGTATTCTAAGTAATTTGCAATACAATAAATTCTATCCCAAACATTTTAGATGTTTTTAAATTTAAAAAAAAAAACTTTTTCCCTTCAAGTGCAATCAATCTTCTTGACCCAAACTAAACATTTGAGCGGGACAGGGCATAAACATTATCCTACGGTTTAAAAAAAAAACCTGCTTGGGAAACTTACTTCAGTGATAAGCAATGTTCATGAAGATGAATGCTAGTACTCCACCACCCATCCAGCTAGCTAGCTTTGCCTTTTCCTTCCGTTTGAAACATTCAGAGCGTGGAGTAAACCACTAACTGAAAGCCTTGAAAAAGGAAAAGAAGCTGACTGATCTTGTGGAAATGATTGACGGTGACACTTGCAGCACTTTCTCTAGGGGACCAAGCAAGGGAGATCTCTAGTTTGTCCCGGCTTTGGGTTTTACGCTGGAGAAACAGACCCCGCGTTAGTTAGGGAAGACTTCTTAAGAGACAACACTGAAGGCAGAGTGGCTCTGATGGAGGAGAGCAAAGACACTGGGCAAGAAAACGGACTTACCTGGTTCACAGCATCCGTGATGATGGTGGTCAGTTTGACAGTATTTGTCCCTCAAAGGCATTTTTAATGGGTACGACCTATTTTCCTCTTCACTGTGAGAAGCTCTTCATTGCGGCTTGGCTGTGGACAGAAGCACAAACCCGTCACCGACCGACCCTGAACTTGGCGGGGTGGCTGTGGCTGCAGTCTCCACAGACCATCCATCCCACCATGCGCTCTCTGCTCTCCCACCCCGGGGCCCCGCACCCTCCGCTCGGAAAAGAAACGGACGCCCGCCGGGCCTCCAAGCCTCAAGTCCCCCGCACAGGTTCATCGCCCTACCCGGAAACGCAGCGTCCGGCGCGCAGCGCAGCGCAGCGCACGGCCAAGGCCTGGATGGCCGCGCAGGCGGCTGCGGCCTCGCCGGCCGGGCCGGGCGGGACCGGGCCGAGCCGAGTCGGGCCGGGCCGGGCCGGGCCGGGCCGGGCGGGCGAGCGCGCGGAGAGCGGGGCGCGACCGGAGCCCCTGCGCGGCCGAGGACCCGCTCGCGCCCTCCCGCCACGCACGTGCGTCGGGGTCTCCCCGGAGCAGGTCGGGTCCGCGCCGCCAAGTGCGCCCAACTTACTCAACTCCCGGGACGGGCGGGCGAGCGGGCGGGCCGCGGCACCAGGCGGGCGCACGACGCGGCGGAGGGCCCCACCTGGCGCAGCCCCGGGCGCACCGCGCGAAGCCGAGCGGGCTGCGGCCCGGCGCGCTCCCCAAGAGTCCCCCGGCGGCGCGGACGCGGAAGCGCTAGAGCTCACCACGTCCCCGGGCCGCGGTGGCGGCTCAAGGCGGCCCTCCGCGCTCGGGGCCGGCGAGCTGGCGGCGCGCGGGCGCAGGCAGTTGACAGGAGGAACCGCCGGGCGCAGCAGCCGAAGGAGCTGGAACCGGAGCGGGCAGGACTGAGGCGCCCCTCGCCAGAGCAACGGCCGCACCGAGCCGGGCTCCCCTCAGCGCCGCTCCACCTGCAACGGTCCCCCGGGGCTTTGGAGAGGGGCGGGGAGCTGCGCGGGTCCCCCACCTGGGGCCTGGCGGGTCGCAGATGCTTCGGGAAACTTTATTGAAGTCAGTCCCGTTCTTCTCGCGGCCGCCCCCCTCCCCGGACAGCCTGAGCGACCGCCGTGGAGAGGGTAGGAAGGGGGAAGCAGAGAAGTCTCCGGCGGCGACAGGGAGCGACTGACTGACCCCGGACGGAGATGGGGCGAGGGCAGGAAGTGACAAGCTCACGGAGTGGGTGGGGGGAGTGTGGCCGGCACGCCCGGCAGCGCGGCGCGCATGCGCTCGGCGGGCAGCCCCGGTGGGGAGGCGACGCGCGCGCGGGGCCGGCCTCGGGGGGGTGGGAGGCTGCGGGGCTGGCGGCGCCGGGGGCGGCGGGCTGGATGGCGGGCCTCGCCGGCGCGCGCCCGTGCGTCCTGCCGCCGCCGCCGGCGGCTGCGGAGCCCCAAGCCCGAAGCTGCGTGCGTCCGGAGGTGTGAGAGCCGCGGACGCGTCCTCCTCCGGGCACGCGCTGTTCTCGCTCGGGCACCAAACTGTTGCTCCGCGCTGCGCGCTTCGGCCAACCCGAACCAGGCAGGCTTGGGAAGGCGACTCAGAGTGTGAGCCCGAAGTCGACGCGATCCGAAAAGGCTGTCAGGTGTTGGCTAGCCAACAGTTGTGTAAATGTGCCTCCTGGAACTTGGGAGACCAGAGTCTCCATCAGGCTCCCAGGAGGAGAACGATTGGTAGGAGATTGGTACTCCTGCAGCGTCCTGATGGTGCAAACCTGAAAGTGAAGTTGGATCCCTTGGCTAGCACGCACTTTGCTTCTTTGGCCCCAGCATCCTGCTTGGAAAATCCCCGAATGTTGAAGATGACCGTCTTCTGTCAAGTCTGCAAACCTCGAGCTGCTTCTCATGGCGAGTAGCTGCTGCCCTTATCTTCCCAACACTGAGAATGGAATTCTTGTCCTTGCTAACTTCAAGTGTGTGACAGCTACTGGTCAGGATAGTTTAAGAGCGCCCATTTGCCCTTATTAAGATTAACGAAAACCACGATTATCTATCTAACTTAAGCTTCCAGTTTGTGAGCTTCCGAAACAGTAAATTTTAGGAAGGTAGTAGGCTCTATTTTTGACATAGTCTTGCTAAGTCACTCAGCTGGCCCGGTACTCACTTGAGTAGTCCAGGTTGACCTTCACCTCAGGATTCTCCTGCCTTTGTTTGTGCTTTCCTTCTTAAAGCTGGGGTTACAGGCTGGCCACCACGCTCAGCTCTGTGTTTGTAAAGAAAATCACCAAAATCCATTTTGAAAATCCCAAAGTTTATAAACAAATGGAGTTTGTAAACAATTAGTGGGATTGTTAAATAGAATGCTTGCAAAGGTCCTGTCCAATTGGAACAGAATAGGATAGAAAAATGATCTGCAGCTACGTAGTATATATTATGTATGATCTGTCCCACTGTCAAGAAACAAATGGAGATTATAGGTCAATATGCTATAAATTGCTACTTCTATGTGATGGTATTATACAACCTCTAAAAATCTTACTTGGGGTTTGGGAAGATGACATTGTCAGTAAAGTGCTTGCAAGCAAGCAAGAAAACCTGAGTTTCTGCGGGACAGAGCGGCAGCAGTGGCGCACGTCTTTAATCCCAGCACTCAGGAGGCAGAGGCAGGCGGATCTCTGAGTTCGAGGCCAGCCTGGGCTATGGGGCGAGTTGCAGGACAGCCAAAGAAAGCTACACAGAGAAATCCTGTCTCAAAAAACAAAAAGAAAAGAAAAATACCACAAGGGTGGAGGGCAGATATGGACGGACTGGGAAATGAGTGTGATTGGGGTACATGATGTGAAATTCACAAAGAATCATTAAAAAAAAATATGGGGAAAAAAAGAAAAAATACCAAGTCTGTAGTGGTAGTGGCAGTGCACCTGCAATCCCTGTGCTGAGGAAACCAATACAGAAGAATCCCGGGGCTTGCTGGCCAGCTGGCATAACCAAACCGCTGAGGCCTGGGTTCAGTTAGAGACCTGAGAGCAATTTAAGACATACAACGTGGACCTTTATCCTGTTCACACACAGTCCGTATATCACATATGCACAAAAATTATCTTGTCCAATATTAGCTGTATGGAACCAAAATGATGTATTTTTTTGAAATGTAATGGAGCTATAATTATAGATGCTTTTGTCTGAAGCATAGAAGATTTTAATAAGAGTTAGCAGTCGAAAGGAAAGCTGTTAACATATCTTACAGTGTTCTGTAAATAGTTAAAATTCCACTCTTTTAAATGGCTATAATTATGTGAAATTATATAAAATAGTAATACAAAATAAATACAAAAATGTACACACCACTCAAAACTGCAATGGAAAAAATGAAAGACAAGACTATCAACATTGGAGATAGTTGAGTGGTAAAATTTAAAGTAAAATATTTTTGTTTCAAAGGATATTTTCCTTAATTTTATACCTTAAGTATTTATCCTATGCATAAAAATAAATACTAAATTTTTCTAAGCCAGGAAAGTATTATGTATGGGAATTTAAATGTTTGCTTTCTGAGTATTAGTTTTAAAACTTGTTTTATGGAGGCTGGAGAGATGGCTCAGTGGTTAAGAGCACTTGTTGCTATTGCAGAGGACCTGGGTTTGGTTCCCAGCACCCACATGGTGACTCACAACTATAACTCCAATTCCAGAGGATCCAATCCCCTTCTGACCTCCAGAAGCACCAGGTACATGTGATGCGAATTACATACAAGCAAGCAAAACACTCATACACATATAAGTGTTTTTAAATTTTTAATAAAAATTATCACTTATAAGTGCAGTGTTACAAATAACTGGTCATCACTAGAAGGTCCTAAAATTGCTAAGTAAATTTTTTAAAAATCTGGAAAATACAGACAAAATTGAGATGTAGATAAAACAGACCCTAAATACTGGGTCATAGAATTTTAAAAATGAAAATAAACCATGGGAATTACATAGTAAACCTTACTTTATACCTAAGAAGACAGAGACCCAGAAATACAAAGTAACCAGACTAACTGCTGTCCAGACCTGGGTAGCTCCCTACTGTAATGACAGTACTAATATCTAAGATGCATTTAGTCCTTAAAATGTTTTCAAGTACTAACTCTTAATGCCATCAGCAATCCAATGATGTTTCCCTCTTCCATTCTATAGTGAAACTGAGGTTAAAAAAAAATAGATTTGCAGCTGACAAGCGGTTGAGCCAACATCTGAAGCAATTTGACATGGGAACTCATGAATTTAGCCACTAATACTCTTCTGTGTTGCCCTCACTATATCATAGCTGTTTGGGATCCATCACATTGTATATGAAGGATGAACCAATAGATCCTGCCAGCTTGAAAGGTGTGATATGTCAAGATACTATGTACACAGTGGGCATAGTGATCCCAGGAGGCAAAGGTAGGAGGAGTTCAAGGCCATTCTTGTCTACATGACAATTTGATGCTAGCTTGAGCTACAAGAGAACCTTTCTCAATAAATATGAAGTCAAAATGGAGTAGCTAAATCATAAGGACTTAGCTGAAATTTCATGGTGCTCTAGAACTTAAAGAAATTTTGGTTACCTAGAATTTTCACTCTACCTTTAGAGACAGTGTTCACAAACCATCCCAGGTATGAATGTGAACTATATCCCAGGGGTCCATATGTTGAACACTTTTTCCCAATTTGGTGACACTGTTTTGGGAGGTGTGAAAACTTTGGGTTTGTCTGGAGGAAGATCACTGGAGATGTAACAGTGAAGGTTATATCTGGTTCAGGTCTCTTTCTCTGTTTGTTCTTTCTGCCTACCATGAGATGAACAGTTCTGCCATATGATTTTGCTTGTGATGTTCAGCCTCACTTTGGGTCCCAGAGCCAACAAAGCCAAGAAGTATGAAGTAGGACCTCTGAAAACATGAGCCACAGGCCCCCTCTGTTTGAGTTATCTCAGATAAATTGTTCACAGAAATGAGAGGTCTAGATAAATTATAACAACCTTAATTTTTTTTTTTGAGACAGAATCTCACTGGCTCAAACTGGTATTACTTCTTAAAAGTCTAGAAGTACATCCTATTGAGTAACCCAAATTCTATTATATGGTTTAAAGTTACTCTTTCTTATTCTCAGTGTTAGAGACTAAGACACATTGACACACGTAATTATTGCATACCAAGCCACCACTGGAGCATCAAGCTATTGTATATGCTCTCAATTTGTATATCAGTAATTTGGGTTAGCCTTGTCTGAGTCACCAAGTTGCTGCTCATCTGGAGGCTTGACTGAATGTATCACACAGCTGGCAGCTAGTGCTGTATGATGACTGGAATCCCTCAGTGTAGCCTTTCATCCTTAAGGTGAGTAGCTTGGACTTCCTCATGCAGTAGCAGCATGCCAAGCCAGTCCAGTGAGAGCTGTAGGACCTCAGGAGTTCTATAACATCATATCCACCACATGCTTTTAGTCAAAGCAGGTCAAAAGTCCAGCATACTGTGTTACATTCCCATAAGCAATATATAAGAGTTCCTGTTTCCCACATCCTCAACAGTGTTTGCTATTGTTTTTAATGATACTCATTTTAATGGGTGAGAGAAAACCTCAGCAGTTTGTGTTTCCATGGTGACTGGATGTTTAGCATTTCTTCATGTAGGGATTGGCCATCTTATATTTTGTCAGTTTGTTAACTGGATTGTTTGAGTTTGGGGTTTGCTTGTTTGTATAGTCTAAACATTAGTTCCCGGTCAGATGTGAAGCTGGAAAAGACTTTTCTCCAGTTCCACGGCTGTCGTTTCACTCTGTTCATCGTTGTCTTCGTTGTACAGAGCTTTTCTAATGCAATCCTATCCTAGTGTAACCACTGCCTCAGCTTTTGGTCCCTTGTTTTGTTTTTGTTTGTTTGCTTTGGTTTGGTTTGGTTTTTGTTTTTGTTTTTTCGAAACAGGGTTTCTCTCTGTAGTTTTGGTGCCCATCCTGGATCTCGCTCTGTAGTATGCTGGGATTAAAGGCATGTGCCACCACTGCCCGGATTGGATCCCTTTTCAAAAAGTTCTTGTCTATACCTGTATTTTGAAGTGTTTTCCTAGAGAAGTTTGATAGTTTCAGATTTCTTATTTTTTAATTTATTTTTGTACAGAGTGAAAAATAAGGATTTAGTTTTATTCTTCTATACGTGCATATCCAATTTTCCCAGGATCGTCTATGGAAGTTCCACAAAA